TTTGACTGCTCAACAAGATCCTGTTACTAGCTCCATGAGCAATGCACATTAAAACTACTTATACACATTTGGTTTGTTTTCAACGCGTATCCGGGTGTAAAACGTTCCATGATGTCCTGTAGTCGTAAAACAGAACTTGTACGCATAAATACGACCCAAATAAGGATATAGTACATATACTCCATAAGCCGCTTGATGAAGGTTAGGAAAGATAGTGTTATTTTTGTGATTTTTATATTTCGAAGAATTCCTCTGTTGAATAAAGCACGTCACAGCAAAACGTGTAGCTTTTTAAATCTTTTATTATTGTTTTTGCTAAAACTCTGATCGCCCACACTCATCTCTAAAAGCCCGTGCTGCTTGAAAACGACTCCTTTGGGGCTTACATATAATTTATTTGTCAGAGCGTACAAGTAAAATGTTTGCAAGATATATACTTCAAAAACACCTTTAATATATCGGTTTAAACTTCAAAACTGCTTTAATATGTTGCTTCCTGTGTACCTTTTCCGCAGTTTCGGTTTGGGTTTCGTATATTGTCAAATATACTATAGGCGTCGTTCCGGTCAAGTCAATCGACAGAAAATTGCGCTCTTCATTGATTTTTAGACGGTGGCTCATTCGGGTTGAATCCATCGAATAAAATATCGAATGCCTCCTTGATATAGTTTTATATTGCAGATGTGGTCAACAGGGGAAATGTTGATAAATGAACGTCGTCCGAATAAGAAGAGTAAGTAATAAATACACAAAAAGAAGAGGGTCTTCAGGCGAGCTCTGATATCCTTCCATTTTAAACAGGTTAGATTCCGTGATGCGTCGGTAAATTTGACGTCGCCATTAATAGCATATACCTCTGTAAAATAGCACTAAAAACATTCCAGATTTCGTCGTTTTGTACATTAAACATACTAAATGTTTTTAATTTTTTTTTCAAGATATACTGCGGCTCACAAATAGTTGTCATAGTAAGTGGGGGCGATTGACCCAGGTAGCACAGTTCTTTGGGCCCAACTTTGTTTTTTGTCTTGACATTTAGGGCCTAAAGAGCACGAAGAAGTCTCGATTGAGCCAAACGACCTTCCTTAACCAGATTCTGGGTATCTTGGCCTTAGTTCTCCAAACAAGTGGCAAAGTAGACTTTACTGCTGGTAGTTTTGGCTGTCATTTGGCATATGTGGCCATACGTCGCCAATCAACTGCCAGAGTTAGGCTCCACTTTCGATTTTTCGGTTTTGATGTGCCAAACTTGGGCCTAAATCACCAAACTAATTCCACATTTAGACTTAAATGCGGAATCTTCGGTTCATACGTGGCATCTTTTTCGAAGGTCCGACACTTTGACAATTATTTGTGGAGCCAAAGAAAAGTACTTTGGCACTAATGCTTTAGAACAAAGGCCGTATTAGTAACAAGTTAGGCCCCAAGTATGAACAAAGGTGTGCCAATTTAGACGTTTCTCTGACGCATGCCATAAAATTCTTAGGAGCGTCATCTCGCGACCAAAGTAATTTCGTCAAGAAAGTCGCGAAGCGAGAGAAGGATCCCGATTTCTTTCGATAGCAAGCTTCTTTCGCTAATTGCCAAAATCAAGAGGGAATACTGCAAAATGTAAGGCTTAAGTTTCTGACGTTTCATTGCTCTGATATGATTTATATTAAAAGCTTTGGCTGACTAAATTTAATAAATATTTTAGTGCTCATATTAAAAACACAATTTCAAAAGAACATGTAGATGCCTTAGCCTATTCTTTCCCATTATGTCTTTAACGGTTGAATATTGGGCCCTGAAAGCGAACGAGGTAAGGAAGAGATAAATTTAAACTATTGCATATAAATCCTGCACCACGTTTTTGAAGGCTGTCCAGTTTGTCAATTTCTACATCTGTATGTGGATGTCATACTATATTAGAGTATTCCACCACATTAGGACTTAAGGATGTCATATACGCCGTGAATTTTATTTCGCTATGTACAAAACATGTAAAACGGTGTAAGTGTTAAAGTTCTTCCCCTGGAGCTTGTCAAAATGCCATTTATATGCTGGTTCCAGTAAGTGTCGCACACGTTTTACTAAAACTGGAACGAAAGCTCTTTCCTTGTTCCCTCTCGAACCCAGAAGGAGTTCCCATTACAAGTGTCAGTCATTCGAAATGAACGCGTTCCTGTTACCTTTCCCAGATTGGAAATGGCTTTTAGGTTAGCTCTACCCAATCGTACTTAATTAAATACTGTGCTGGGTATTTCGTAAATAAAATAATTTAATCTAGTGGAAATACATCAAACTAAGTGTCGATTCACCACGACCGCATTTGTTCCAGTTTTTGGTTCTAAAACATTTCTCAGACTTCCCCCTCCCTTGAAGATGTAGGTCGAAATGCTGGCTATTAAAATTCCTGAGAGCCTACTTATTTCAAGTAAAATTGCAAATAAATAAAAAAGGAAACCCCTTTCCCTTTGCCGTTTTCTCAAAGACGTAAAGATGATGTTCCACTTTCACCACTGCAAGATCAAACTGTGGCGTTCATCCGCTCCTCCTAAAAGAAACGCGTGCTAGGAACGTCGTTTTTTAGAACGCCGTTTCATATAACACTGCTTTTAGTCGAGTTTGCTGAAGAAAAAATAAAAAAAAAACATAAAGAAATAAACCTAATTTTTTTTTCAAAGCACTCTGAGCAAGCTCAAAATATGGATCGGACTGAAAATCCCGATTTTTGCAGTGAAGACAAGCAAGTGAAACGTCATTTTTATTTTTTAAACTCCAACCAAAGTTCGAGCTCTGGGATTCGCTGGTATCCTATCTATTCTCACAGTCGTTGGTTACCCTTATTTTCCGAAGAAAAGTGAACGAAACAATCCACATTTGAAGTGTCTTAGTTTGAGTATTTGTGCCCACCAATCAGACAACCGCAAGACTAGAAAGAAGTTTGAACGAGTCATTACCGTTAAAACAAAATCGATTAAAAGCTAGTCTGCCATCTTCATGTCCAGAAGCTCACGCTGTGGGTCTTTATAACGAAGAGCTTTCTGCACGTTTAAGCTTCAACCTCTCACAGCCGGCCCGGCCCCCTTTTAAATGGTTCTGTCGAGGTGCCGATTTCAATGTCAAAAGAACATGGTGCATCTATGGGCAGACATATTTCGTTGATAGCAATAACCACTCAACTGGTGCGATGAAAAAGAAAGCATAAATAGTTAAGACACGGATGCATGTCACAAAATGAAAACAGTTATTTTGTGATGGAGATGCAAAAACAGAACAGACTCACTTATTTCACTGTCGGTGTTGACTATACGCAGCAGATGCAAGTTCCGCTTCGAAAGAGAGGCGGAAGTTTTTGATTTGTCCCCTAACTTGACAGACTGCGTTCACCCCGTTAGGGAAATTAATAGATCGCAGGTTGTGCACATGTATTGATACGAGCGAGCTTTCTTCAGTAAAATAAAACTAAAAATATATTAATTGCTCGGCATTTCGTTGAGTCAGATATATGATATATCCTGTTTTTATTAAATTATGTTTGTTTGTATACAATTTCGACTTTCAGGCTTGTGGGCTAGTGAACGGTGTAGGGTTCTCCTCTGATTTCTCGGGCCCCTGTCTCCGGATGAACGTGATACAGCAACGCGTGATACAGCGGCGCACCCCCTCTAGGAAGCCTAGAGGGTGTGCGCTGCCGCTGTTTGCTGCATGCCGATTGTCCCTGCGGTGCTTGTCCACACCGCATTCTGGGGGCGTCGTCGTCGAGGGTCGAATTCGGGGCCTAACGTCGCCCGAGCCGACGTCGCGGTCGCCATCAGCGCGAACGTCCGTCGTGGCCCGTTTCGCGCGGAAAAGTCCTCTCTGCCATCTCCCGTCATCCGTCGTCCCAGCTTCCCTCGTTCCCCGCGGTCGCCGCGCACCAGACAAGCGGGGGCCTCCTGTCTCCCATCGTGGGCGGTCTTTCGCTGGAGCTCCCCGTCTGGCTCTGCCGCAGCACGTGCAGGGCCTCGGCCGCCGACGCTTTCCGGCAGGGGGTCCTAGGATGTCCACCAACGACACCGCCAACGTCTAAGATGGGTCCTGAGGGAGGAGGCACTCGGGCACCAAGCTTCAAAGGCGCCGTCTTTGGCGACCGAAAACGAGTCCTCAGGCGCCGGCGTCCGGTTGTCGACCAGAGGGGGGCTGACAAGACCCCACAACGATTACACTGCTGTTGGCAAACAGACAAAGCGATCGAAGCCCTAACATAAGAGAACACATAAATGTAATTCGATACAGTCAGCACAGCGAGGGCATGTAAAATGTGTCAGAAATGTATTGAAGAGGTCTATAAGCCATCACTCAGACATTCAGATAATCTAGCTTCCGGCAGAAAGCGTTACAGAAAATCAAGGCAGATCCGACAACTCCATCTGTAATGTTATATCAACGGTTTATTCAAAATATCGCCTGAAAGTACTGAATGTTAATTAAAATTTGAAATAAATTTCGACTCCGTGTTTCACAACTGAAATGTGCGAACCATACCATTGCGAATTTTTTTCGAACCTAAATTCGACTCTCTCACATAATTTTAAACAACCAGTTTCCTCGTTTTGATGGTATAATAAAATTCAAAGCTAAAATCAAGATAAGAGACAGATATAGAGCGAACGAGAACACAGTCGGCATATTTGTAAATTACGACCTTGTTTTTCGTTCGCAATGAAGGCTGTTTCTGTTTGAACGTCACATGCAAAATCTGTACATGACGAGGATGAAAGAAATATTATGAAAGGGGTCCAAAAATACACACTGAGCATGAGTACGAACGGCGCAGTACGGTGGACAGTATGAACGTCACTTAAAGGCACACGTGCCAACATTGGGTCGCACGGTATAATATATTATTGCACAGGATGTATCGCGTGACATACAGAAATTGTTGAAATAGCAGTATCGCCATGCATATAAACCACATCGACTCGTTGTGTATTATTTAGCTTCTGAAATCTTTCAATACGAGGCAGAACAGCAGCATGAAGAACTCCGGCTTGATCATCCTCAGCGCCATCGCAGTGCTGGTCGGCACAGCGTCAGCCGCAAACAGTGAGTAATTCTATTATTATTCTTTTATTGCATTACCGATGACCGTGGTGTTATAGGACGGCACGTTGGTGCACTTTTTTATTGCGTTTCAGTTTGTTCGTCGAAGACTTACTACATTGTCTTCGGATGGTCGAACAGACAAAGAAAAGGAATATTGCTTTCGACTAATTTTGTTCACTCAAATAAATCAACGCAGTAGTTAATTGGTAATAGGTGGCATTATACTACAAATATAGTTATGTCTTATTTTCTTGGAGGCCAGGTTTTGTTTTCATTTAACCAACATATTTGTTCATTACAGCATTGTTTTGGTGTCATGTGGAACAATTTGCCATAACACCAACCATCCGATAGACCCAGATTCTGGTCACTAAAAACAGTGCGATAAAAATATGACGAGGAACTCAGACGAGTACTCAGACAGCGATGCTCTTCCTTGCCCCTCGCCGTTTTTATCGCGCTGTTTTCTTCGCAATCATGCATCACCAACTCAACAAACTTTCCAATCTGCTACAATTTTTAGTTTCTAATAGGCGTTCATTTACAGTTCTCAGTTTTATGTTTAGGAAAAACAGTTTAAATTAAATATGATCAACGTCTCCTTAATGTTCAGTGGATCTCACTTTGATTTTCGCCCAGAGTAAGAATGAGAAGCAGCCACAAGGTTTGAAAAAGACTTAATGATTTGCAAATTATCTTAATTTAAATGAACTCATCACCAGCAGAGGAGACTGGATCTAATTTTGTCATTTTCTTTTCTTTAGATAGCTGTATTAAAATCAGCTTCCCTGGCTTCTTGAACATTGGAAAGGTACGTTGTTGCTTTTTATACTTTGTTAATATAGGCTAAATTTCAGGCGTTTTTTTTTAATTCCCAATAACTTTGAGTAAAAAAGCTATTAGTCTAGGGGGTACTTGTTGGTGATAAGCTTAAGCGAGCATGTGAGATGTGAGGGCAAGCGGGAAACGTTCGAAATTTGCACAAAAATATCTTAGGTGCTAGCGCTTAACGTCTATGGATACTTTTATGGCATACATAAATAACTATTCTATATAAACAAAAATTGTTGGATAGTTTGTATTACAAGTTGAAAATTTGAACAATTTTTGGCATAATAGACGTATTGCTGCTTTTTTTTTCTTCTAGAGGAGATTCAGATTTGTATTTTTTTCTGATTACGATTGAATACTATGTGCTTTTTAGCTTCCTAAAGTGAGAAAAAATGATCGATTCAAGCACCCAGAAAGCAGCCAGCGATAACTCTGCGAACGACTTTCCGAGCCCAACATGTAGCCTTTAATAATAATTGAAAAAATACGACACAGTTAATGTATGCCAGCAGGGTAATCCAGAGAGTAAGATTTACTTCTGACGGAATGTCCATTTGGTATTTGGTGTCGAGAAAGGGCACAGTACCGCCATTGGTTAATTTTGTAGCGCAAGTAAGTTTTCATATAAACGAATACACACTAGCTAAATATGTATAATGGCAACCGCATTCGATACAAAAAGCGGTGAAATGTGCATTCTACGTCTGATAATTAAAATCATGATAAATGTGAATAATTGCGTCTTTATTTATTTCCATACAATGCAGTGTGTGACCGCCATTGGGAACACCTGCAATGGAATCTCGCCGGTGAGTATCCCATGTTAAAAATTGCGATGTACATCATTAAACATTTTAAAAATGATTGTGCAATAAGCTTCATTGGAAACGCAATATTAAGTAGATAATTAAAAAAATATAAAATTGAAGTTTCACATTGATTCGTCTTTGCGGAAGAGCAGTGTGAACTGTCGTCAAAAACATAACATTTTGAAGACTTTTGAACCGAAATAGTAAATTAACTTCCACTTAAAATAGTGCGCCACGTGCGCTCCCTAGGCGACTGGTAGACCGTTGATGCGATAATCGAAAGAACACTTGTTTAACTCATTAACACGTTTCAAATCCATTCCATATAAAATAAATTATTTAATCGTGTTACACAAAATTCTTGGACATACGAAAATTAATCATGCAGAATTGTCATCTCATTTGAGGTCGCCTGATGTAACAATACTTAATGATCATATTGCAAACATTACATATAATGTTTTCGGTCATTATAGACTCAAGCTCTTTCGCAATTCACCCAGTTTATAAACGTGAGTACTTTTCCTTTTCTTTAAATAGGAAAACAAATAAGCACCCGAAATTTGAAGACCTCTAAACATTCGGGCTTGTTTCTATTTGCATAGTATTTCTATTTGAGGTTAATGAGAGGTATCATTAAAGTGCGAAGGTATGTGAACCACAGGCAATTGGTTGACAAGTGGTAAACTTGAGGCGTTATGTGTGGCTTGAAAGAAGCAGGACGTTAGTTTCAGATCAAAGTATGACCCGCAGCTGACGTTTAATTGACGTTTATGGAGCTTTCTGCCATGTGCGTGGGTCACACAAAAAGGATTCTTAGGGTAAGAATAGTACATTTATATTACCAAATGTTTCAGACATAATGCGCGTAAAAAAGGCACACCTCAAGAATACAACGTGTACAGAGACTACTGACGATGAAAAGGTTTCTCCTTTACAGGGAAACATCTAGTTTTACGTATACTTTAGAGGCCCCGATAATAACTGGACTCGCAAAAAGTGTTGGCAGTTATTACTAGTCTATATGAAGCGCATTACATTGCCGGATGTATCGGAGGAAATTACAGCATTGCGTTTCAGTTTTACCCGAACAAGATTTTTCGCTTTCCTCTCTTTGTGTATGTTTTCTTTTTCTTGGTATTATGAGAGCCACAAAGAGGACAACAAAATCTCGAAGTGACAAGACAAATATATGCATAAAATCACTCTCCGAAATTCCTCTAATTGTCTCGCCTCGGTCCCGGCAGGCAACTATAAGTATAGTCACCGATAGTTAAGGCAACGTAGGGCTTGCCAGGTAATGTTCACTCTTCTTGCTTCTTCATTCACTCTTATCGGCTAATGCCGTAATCTTTTGTTGCGGAGCGATACAATGAAAAGCTAACAGACACGAGACACGTTGCGTTTCACAAGCTTCCAATGACTACACTCTAATAAAAACGGAGCGCCTGCTCTTTGGCAGAGATCTTGAAAGAGCTAATCGCTGTGTACGGAGGGCACTTGGCCAATGAAGGGGCTGGTAATCTAATATATCTAAACCCCGATAAACGGCCTGTGCTGCAGCACTGAGCATGGATGAATCTCATCCTTAGCGCCGCAGCGACGACAGTTTTCTTAGGTTTAAACATGTTTTCAGCCGAGTCATTCACCGAGCTCCCTGCGCAGCATCGGTAGGCTCTCCTAAGAACTTTGAGGGAGATCAGTCATTCCAGATTTACTACAGTGTATAGGTAGCAATATTATCTTTCCTGCTAACATGTGCACTGTTGAGGTTTGAAGCGATCTTCAAGTACGGCGAGTTTGCTGGTGATGTAGAGATGGTTTACCGAAAGACAAGACGACCGGCTTCAACGAAGAACCCTTCAAGCCTAGTTTACATGCAGCGGTTTTGGCCCTAGAGCGGCGCGATTTCTGCCGTCGCGGCGCTCTGGCCAGCACCAGCAATTTTGCGGCACGAGCGCCGCGACGGCAGAAATCGCGCCTCTTTAGGGCCAAAATCGCTGCATGTGTAACACGCTTCACTCCAACTGACACGTTTGCTCTGCCTGCGCGTAGAAACCCACGCAACCGCTTTAAATATTTACCAAGCACAAATAGCAATTGCCTATGTTGGGTTAAAATGCTTTTTGTGTTTCAATAATTGTTAGTTTCTTGCTGAAAATGTTAATGTCTAATACCACTGTCAATCATTTTGTTTACTTTGCTGCTCCTTACAACATTTTTGAATAAAAGCCAGGAATAGTTTGCAAACCATTAATAAAGGCCTGCGCGAGACATCTTTTAAAAACAAATGCTCATGGCCACTTTCTTTTTCAGTGTTCCGTCGCTGGCATATCGTCCCTCACCCTTGGATCTCAGTTGTCTCTACTCTCCGGACTCATCACTTACGTTGCTTCAAGAATACCATTCAGTGCGTTTCACGTCACGTAATCCCACATCATATCTTTGCGCTCACTCTGTGCCATACTTACCTAGGCCTCTAGGGTCTTCCAGCACTGACATATATTTTTTTTTATTGCTATATTTTCCCACTCCAGTGCTCTTGCGGTGCTCCATATTTAAGCTTCACGAAAGCGTTCGCGCCGTTGCCAGGTTGGTGAACTCGCTATATTTTTGCCTATCCAGGGTGGCTAGACCAGGCATTGAAGTGCTGTCGGTTGTACAAACGTCTTCTGCGAAACATACCCGGTGTTTCTTGAAGTACTTTCCAAGGTGCATAAAAAATAGGGTGTTTAAAAAAATATAGAAGCTGTTTATGGAAAGGCTGCCATCCACGGTGGAGGTCAGGGATCAATGGCGTAATTAATTTGCACAATGACTACAATATGTTTATAGTTAAGTGCTTGAAAGGGAGAACCAGCTCAGGGTTACAAAAGAAACTTGCTGGTCGTCATCGCAAACCCCTAAATCAGTCAATTTTAGTACGATTTGAAGTGGGTGAGGAACAGGGGTGGGAGTAAAACGTATCCCTCGTGCAGCAGGCGCAAGACCGGTGAAGAGAAAACGCGGATGATATTCTTATTGTCTACGTTTTCGCTTCGCCGGCCTTGAGCCTGCTGCACGATTGATAGCATTAGTGCACCCCCGCTCTTCCCATGTGTTTCAAGTCGTCCTAGAATTGACTGATTAAGGGGCCTTCGATCACGCTGAGCAAGTTTCTGATTGGAGACGTATGTTTATTTTCGCTAATTAAGAAAATGAGCTAGTAAATATTTGGTAAATAATTTTTCTAATTAGTTTTTTTTAATACCTGACGTCATCCGCGGTCGGTAGTCTTTTCTCTACAACATCTTTTTTTTATTTTCTTGACCTCCTAGTTATAGAAATTTTGAATGTATTCAAATAAACACCCGGTATATATTTTATACCTAAAACCGATCGGAAATGTCGGCGTCTGCATCCAAGAATTTAAAATTTCCATCAAAGATGTATATTTGTAGGGGACTACACCGTTTGAAATTTCAAAGGGTGGCTTTGTTCCTGCGGAAAATGAGAGCAATACTTTTTACAAGGTCATCCGCACACGTAAGAGCAGACAGTTAGGTGAACCGAAGGCAGAGAGGCTAAATTAAAGGGCAGCAGTAAAGTGCTTCTTGAGATCCTCGTTTTATGGCCATAACTTCATCTACGAGCTCTACCTTAAAGCTAGGCATTTTAAGCACCCTAATCAATTTTTAATATGCAATTTGGCTACTCATGAATGTAATTTCGTTTTTTTTTATGGTTAGAGCTCGTATATCGAGCTACGACACTAAAACGAGGATCTGAAAAAGCACATCAGTTCCCCTTTAAGAGAGGCAGTCACCCAAACCGCAAAGATCGTGTGGAAACTAATGGCGGCTATCTCGTGTGGTGTTGGGTTGCTCGTAATTACGAAAAACAACCTAATTCATGGTAAAATAGGGACCAGGGTAACACATATTACGATGAATTTACACCAGTTTGTTTACATATTTACTTTTCGCGGGTTCCTTATGCGCACCCAAACATTGCCGCGTGGCGGGGACGCAGAGATGTACAGGCTATTCAAATAGACTAGATGTACACATTATTAAAATAGAGTAGATGAATAGCGTCACTCGTTATAGAGTAAAAATAACCAAGTACTTTGCTACTGCGATCCAAAAAGAACGTGTTACCTCATCTTGAAAGTAGCGCGTTTTTTCGCTACTCCGAGTGTTTCTGACGTCACGTCCTTCTCGCACCATTGACCGCTTACTGCTCCGTGCAGTCTGATGTCCTACATGTATGCCATCTCCTGACGAAGCCGAGCCTCTTGGCGAAACTCTCGTAATACATACACTCTAAAAAAAAAGGGTATCACCTTACACCCTTTTGTCCCATATAATACACCCAAAAACTTTATTTCGACGTACAGCGCCCTATAGTCGAACAGACGGCACAAAATTTTACCAGGGGCTTAATAACGGTGCGATATAACTTATTAAATTGCTAAAGTACGTATCAAAGACCAAAAAAAGAAAACATGGAGCTCTTGCAGTACGGCCAAGAAAACTGCGATAATCTTTTTTGTAGTAAATAATACGTACATCAGCTATCTTAATAAGTTGTACCACACGGCTATCAAGCCCATCGTAAACTTTGGGGCCGCCTGTTCGATTAGGGGGCGCTGTACGTCGAATTGAAGTTTTGGGGTGTATTATATGGGACAAGGGGTGTAATAATACACCTTTTTTTTTCAGAGTGTACAATAATCTCCTAGCATAGCAACTCCGCAAATACGGATCTCTTATATATATATATGTATAGGCATGTTGGCTTGGAGGCCGAGGGCGTAGATAACAGATGCAAGGTGACGGTAGAAAACGAACCAGGAGGATTTTATTCGACGTTTCGACCTGAGGCAGGTCTTCGTCAAGAATGTCTCTTCTTTCTGACGAAGACCTGCCTCAGGTCGAAACGTCGAATAAAATCCTCCTGGTTAGTTTTCTACCGTCACCTTGCATATATATATATATATATATATATATATATATATATATATATTGTTGTATTCTCGCTCACCGCTTGTCCGGAGAAAGGAAATATAGTTCTCATATCTGGAAGCTCCACTCTGTCTAAGTTCTGCCGGTTCCGGGAAAAAGGACAGCAGGAGCATGCGAAAGAACGAGACAGCGTTAAAGTCAACACTGACGAAGCACGTGGTACTCTCGATGTCGTCCTACTTGCTTTCGGCTCTGTCGAAGACTGCTCGGCGTTTTTGATTCCCTCGGCATTAGTCTTGAGCAAGCTCCCCCTAGATGACACAGCAGAACAGCGAGTGCATGTTCCTCAAGCCAATGTGATGTTTTCCTGCATAACTGGCACGAAGTTCTTCTTTCTCTTCTACGAAATATTTGGTGAATGCTGTAGGCGAGAGATTCAGAGCTACCACGAGCAAGCCGTTGTCAACCTTGACAGCACACAATTTACCAACTTGGTCTGACGTGCCACAGAGATCGAGGGGTACAGCACAGACCCGTACCCATGTAGATGGCCACTTGACGAACGAGTACTCCACGTTTTCATATGTGCCTCATAGTGATTTATAAATGGTTATATCACTTGCCTGCACAACGGTTAGCTGGCATCTTCCCTACTCCTCCTCCCCTCCTTTTCTTTTCCTCATCTATCAAAATCGAGGCTCTCACCTCCTCATCGCTCCTTCTATTGCAAGTGTGGCTCATTAGCCACGAAATCTCGATAGAGAAGTTGGAAACACTTCAATGCAGGAACACTGGTGGATGGATGTGCTTGTGGCGCCATCAATCGATAGGTGCTTCATACCCTCCCATATTGGAAGAACGCCTGCGACATCGGCGCCATATCCGGCTCCCAAAAATGGGAGGGAGGAAACCATTGGAAGTGGGCATCCGAAAACTTTTCCAAACGCCCCTATTTTCTAGCTCTGTTTTTCTCAAAGGAAATAGTAGTCGAAGCCCGCTGCCGCATCTTTTGAGATAGCTTGAAAAGGATACTTCTAAAGGTCGGCCAGTACTTTTTTTAAATATTAGTGAAGTGTGTGATTCGTAGACTGCCAACGCTCCTTGAAGATATTTATAGAGGATTTAATAAGCTTTCCTAAATTCCTCGAAAAGGCTTAATCTTTCAGGGAAGCATTAGCTGCCTTCTTCATGCTTCCGGTAAATGCTTTTTGAAACATTTTGAAGTTGTGAACATTTATTGTAAATTAAACGAAATGGCCCAGAGAAGCTCCTAAGCTGGCACAAGCTTCACAATTCGAGGGTCCTAAGCTAGGACTATACGGTTTTGCTCGAAAGCGTTGCCTATTGCGTTTCGTTTGGGTTTTATTGTTTCTCTTCGGCTCGCCACATAATTGACCGGGGGTCCAGACTTGAAGCAAAGATGCTAGGCACGAGCCAAGGAATCAGAAGTGAAGCCTAGGTCTGGCACTTGATTGACAATTTAGTCCCAAAGTTGTGACATAAATTTCGAATAACAAAACGTGATGCCCAACTTCGGGATTTGTTTGACGCTTTATGCACAAAGATTCCGGATGATAGCCAAACTACCAGCAGTGAATCCTTTCTTTGACACTTGCTTGGCGAGCTAGGGCAGAAGTACACAGACTCTGGTCAAGGCAGGTAAGGTTTTGCTCTACCTTACTGTCTTCAAACTTTTAAAAGCCCTAAATTCCAGAAAAAACCTCAAATCTCGGTTCAAAGAGCCGGGATACCTGGGGGTGTAAAAAGACCAGGGTTGGGCAGTATCGCGATACAAATGTATCGCGATAGTATTTCAGAAATACATTTCGTATCTGTATTTCTGTATCGCGATACGTTTTTTTCACCAGTATCTGTATTCCTGTATCGAAATACATTTTGAATATTCCTTTGTATCGCGATACAATCAGGATCACATGTATTTCGTTACATTTCTTGAGAAATACTCCCCCCCCCCCAAAAAAAAAAGTCCCAACGGATTTTTTGTTTTACTTCTGAGGGCACCAGAGTCAAGGAGATGCTGGGGTATTGTTGCTATGCTGACCAAGGTTCATTTTGATTCTGGAAACTATTTTTCTATACGTCCTCTTCTCTCTTCTGAGAAGTGTTGCGTAGTCGGGGGACCTTCAGAACAGGGATGCTACCGTATCGTTTTTTCAACTGTAAAACAGAAGATAAGACATGTATTCCAAGATGCTTCAGGTGGTCCACTATTCTCGAAAATTCCAAATGACACTGCATGCACGATCTTCAGCTAGGAAGCCTACAACGAAAGTACGCATTGTCCTTTCATACAGCAGCGTGGTAAAGTTTCATGTTCAAGGCCACACCTACAGATAAAGAATTCTAGTTCACTCCACCGTGACATAATGTGATCAATGTTGACAGGATTCCCTTGTCAGACAGACAGGATGTCATGGAAGGGACCGCGGTCAGCAATTGTTGGAACGTTTTTTTGGGCCCATTGAAGACTCCTTGTCGTCCGAAACCATTACCTTCAAGGCAAAGTACCAAGCCTGCAGGAAAGTAATTTCGGGATCGAAAACACCCACTTCAAACTTCAAGCTTCATCTCAGTTGGCGTCTCAAAAAATTTGGAAATTGTATTGCAGTATCAGTATTTCTGTATTTGTATTTCTGCCTTCCCTAAAATGTATTCCTGTATTTGTATTTCCAAATACTTTTTGCCTCTTTTTAAAATGTATTTCCGATACGTATTGCGATACATTTTTACAGATGTATCTTAGTATCAGTATTATAGCCACTATTTCAATGTATCTTAGTATTTGTATTTCCAAATACATTTTTCAGTATTTCTGCCCAACCCTGAAAAAGACATAGCCAATTTGTGCAATATTTGAACATACCGTAATGCATTGATTCTGCATTCCGCAGTCGGACCAATCATCACAGGGGTCTTGAGACTGTGCACCGGAACAAATCCCCTGCCCGGCTGCAACATCATTCAAATGGGAAACAACTCGGTTTGCCAGGATCCAATTACGTTCAGCTTCCCAAGTGTTCTGGGTGTCGAAAAGGTAAGACACTTACTTCTAGACAGATCACATACACTAATTCATCATGTACTTCGGTGCATCAGAATTTTGAAGGGGTAGATTTTTACGTCTAACTTGTTTTATGCGTTGGCATTAGAACGCTCGTTTTCGCGGAAACCCGCCGTGTCAGTCCGTGTTGCCATGTATGACGTCCCGAGGAGAGTGGGGTGGTGAGGAGGTATAAATATTGTGTTGCTTTTATCTTTAGACAGCCTTGATGCTAGTACGTCTCAACGTGTGACTTGTCTCTTATATGTAGATGAGAAATTTAGCGAGAGCAGTGAAACCACTAACCTCGGGTCTTCAACGTGCACCACGCAACGGTGTTACATGACCTCGTGCCGGTATGAAACTCATCCAGATAGAAACAGGCAGGGAGTGGGAATCGAACACAGAATGTTCTGCAGCGCAAGCTTTCGCTCCACGCTCCGAGCTGAGACGTGTTAGCCCCCTCGGCCACCTATCCACTGCCCAGAGGCATAGCGTCTACAGATTTCCTGTCTCACTATGGCCGTCTTCCAAAATTTACTCGATCTTACTCCAGGGTAAGGGTTTTTGTACCCTTGGCGATCTAAAACCTACCCGCGTCCAGCGTTTTTCAATCTGTGCTGTCACGTGATACGATCCGCCGGAGTAACTCGGATCCATTTGGGTAAGATTTGGAACACAGCTTATGGCGGCGGGGAGAGAGAGAGAAAGGGTGATCTGTGCTGACGTCAGCGCTTTGGACCAATACGAGCGTCGCACAGCTGGCGCGGAGTCAGAGACGAGCATGCGCCGCGCGGCTTTTGAATGCGGCCCAGCTCAGGTGCCGCTCGGGCGATGGACATGGCTCTTTCTACAAGTGTTATGGCTGACCGTATCTAAGAGCGACGATGGAAGAACCCGACGCCACGCTTCATTGAATTGAATCCGATGGAAATACCGACGCATTTCCACCGGATGCATCCCATTCATCGTCGTACCAATTGTCTAATGTGTAATGAGTCTTTGCCCAATCTGCTTTCTAGGTATTATGGTCACTATGTTTGCTTAGCGATTCGCTTTTCGCAATTCTTTCTTATCAAGTGATGCCACAATTTCAGTGGTCGTAGAGCGGTAATAATGCGCAGGAACTAATTACGCCCTGCGTTTCTTCAGCTTCCAGTGACTATAACTGCTGACACTTTTATTTTTACGTTAATAGCCTGTGATCATGATCTTTACCACCCTTACAAAATATCTACTGGGTAATGTAGCACAATAAACAAATGAATATATGGATATATAAATACATCCACTTTGATAAGTAGAGTCATAATCACTTTTATAGCGGGAATAACAATCTACTCACACGCCTCATCTTTCCGCCATCTTGGTAGCCTCCGAGCCAGTGTTGAACCACTTGGAGGCTAACATTTTGAACCGGTGACATATACAAACGTCATCCATTTTTAATTGTAGCGTTGTTTTAATGGTAGAAAAAGTGTGTGATGTTTTTTTTTTGCCTCGTCTGCATTACCAATCACGACAGCATTTGATTTTTTAATGGTTAGACAAATACAGCGAATACCAATTATTTTGGTGTTCAAATGCACTGCACAAACGAGTACATAAATGAGACTCTGAGGCTGTGCCTTACCGAATGTTTCATATAATTTAGAAGAAGACGATATCTGTCAGATTAAATATGGAGCTGTATAATGTGACGAATTCGAGCAGGACAGACTTTTTGTCAGGACCTGATAAAATAGGCCTCCTTTTAGTGGTGCAGTATTTCATTTCTGACAAATAATCAAGGACCTTATGTTCGAAACACGACTGTGCCAATTTCGTTGTCAGTTACTTCAGAATTTAATTTTTGTTTTATTTGTAAGATATATTCATTTGAATTTTGTTGGTAAATATTACCACTGGATCGTGAAAAGGAGGGTTTATAATCTGCTTCAAACAAAAAACAAAGAGAGGAAAAGATGTTCCCACAATCGGACTCCATAAGACATATATTCATAGCGAAGATATATTTCCTCGTACACTTGTTTATAGATACAAAGCTAGAATACTCTTCTTCTGCGGCAGAAAACGATAATTAACCCATTTGTTTGGCAGACACAAGTCGCCTGCGGGTGTGTGAGAATAATGCTAGCGAACATTTGGGAAATACAAAATTGCGTGTTCAGAATCACATGATCAAAACACAGCCCTGCCTTAGAGTTCGGGTGTTATCGTCCCTGTTTGTCTGGAGAAAAGAACCAACATTTGTTCGATGTTGTTCTAACGTATGCTTGCTATTTATTTTTCAGTGCACCAATAACCTAACTCAAGTGTGTCAGAATGGGCAACCAGCGACGGTAAGCGTAATAATTCAGCGCTCAGAAACACTGCATTGCGAGAAGTTTGTCTTATGTGTTTTTCTCGTTGCGAAACATGTTTCCAGGCTAGCGTTGTCCAGGGATTTTTCAGCTCACTTACGGTAAGCCGAGAGACCACACTGTCATTCGTATTTATGAAACCATTTGAGCGTTAACCTTACGCCCCTAAAGCCGGCAAACAACAATTCTTAAAACAAAGCACATCTCTGGGTCTAAGAAATAAAACGCGTCTACTTTCCCGCAAAGGTTTGGGACCTGGGTCGTAATATCTAACAGCATGACACTCCGACTGCTCTGACGTCATTTTCTGCCCATTTGGGACCACTCTAGTTGCTTAGGACGCTCAATACACCAGTCGGATACGCGTTCCAGACATCGTACCTAGTCTAAACTTGAGATGTTTCCTACTGCAGTGCCTGGCCGGGGTTGTTCTCAACACCAGCCCCGGTGGAGCCATATCCAGCATCATCTGCACCATATTCAACATCATTCAAACCTCGACGGGCGGGAATACTATTATTGGTGCCGCTTTGGCCTTCATCGAGTTGTTCTTTCAAGTATCATGTATGAATTTCTATTTTTTAAGCCTTGACATGAGTAAAAATACGACAGAGAAATGCAAATGAGGGTCACTCAAAGCTTTGGGTTACCCGAGCAGCCTGTAGCTTTGGACAAAGAATGCGCGCATCGTCTGTGCATGTGCGGTGCTGCACCCCATGTTGCTGGCAGGAACCAAAGCATTAGGGCTTTGACGATATGGCTCCACGAAGGGGTACGAAATTTGGATGATCGCTGAGTTGTCTCCAAATTGGTTCAAAAACTTGTCAGACACGGCTGCACTAGTAACCCAAAATTATAAGATTATATAATTCTTGCGACGTTATCGGATTTTTAAATTTGGTTTTTCAAACTCAAAGCTTCTGCTTGCAACATTCAGACACGACAGAAGATGTAATAACTTGGGTAATATAACGTCATTCTTAGAGGGTAACAGATAGATGATGCAAATTGAGTACTCGAAAAACTCACTCCTACAAGAAAACAAAATACGCAACATACTGTTTTTCTAACTTCATGCTCATTCCAGGCGACACTACTGGAAAGCGTGGGGGAATTTTCACGATGGTTTTGACATTAGGTGTTTTGAATTCAGAGGTAATAAATAGCAAGCTGTGAAGAGTGAATAACTGGTATTTCGAAAGTGTCGTTAGTTTGGGAAGGTAAACAAATTGTCGGCTCCCCTTAGAAACGGAGGAAACACGCACTATTTAAAAAAATGTTTGTCGTTTAGCATAACCAAGACATTGGCGTGTAGTCACGCCTCAAAAGCCAGTCTGACCACCCTGGATAGAAAATTCCTTGTTTGGACACCGGACTCGCAACTTGGGGCTTGCCTTAGCAAAGAGGTTAGGTGGCGGAAGCTACCACCCTTTATAAAGGAGACAGCCGTTATTATCGATACAATATCCAGAACTGTCAGGCGATCTACAGACGACGGCGCAGGATGGCGGCGGCCAGAAGCCGCACTTACAAACGTTTAAAGTTACGTCGACTCCTCCAGCCATGCAGTACACACATGCTGCATTAAGCGGCACCTTTTACGATGGCTTTACTTTTGTCGGAATTACGCCGTTCGGTTTTAAGCGTGGTTTAATAAAATAGAAGTGCATTGGAAGATCAATTTTCCCCTTCTTCTCCTTCCTCTCCCAACAATTTTTATGATGTATCCTTCAAGCAGGTTGTGTGAGTTCAATGTCATTCACTAATCCCCTCTTCGCCTCTTATGCGACATTTACCGTTTAGAAAAAGACAAACTAAATATTCAGTTCCTTTTAATTTAAACCCTGATCTGGACAAACCTCGGACAAAGCATTGCTCCGTCCGAGTTTTGTTGATTCTAAGCGGATGCAACACGCTAACAATATATTTGATGAGAAAGTATAGAAATGCCGGTGAAGCTTTGTCCCTACTAACGAACGGAGTGTTTTCGCTTTATACCAACATTTCATTGGCTTAACTGACCAGAC